GCCGCGGGCAGCCCCGGCCCCGGCCCCGGCCCCGGCCTCGGCGCGGGGATGGACGGCCCCGGGGCCAGCGCCGTGGTCGTGCGCGTCGGCATCCCGGACCTGCAGCAGACGGTGAGCCCCGCCGCCCCGGCAAGGCCGTGCCCTGCGCTCCCCGCCCGGGACGCCCCCACCCCCGCCGGGCGCGCCCAGCGCCCCGGACCCCGGCCCACGGCTACTCACCCCTCCCCCGCCGCCTCCGCCGGGACCCTCCCCATCGCCGGGGCGGGGCCGGGGCAAGCCCGGCCCCCGGGGCGGGGCTTCGGTCGCACTGCGCGGAGGCGCGGGGTCCCGGCCGTCCTCATCCGAGCCCCGGACTCCGGCGGGGGCCCGGGGCTCGGCACCTGCGCTGAGCCGGGCCGGGCGGGGCCGCGCTCGCCGCGCTGCGCTCACGAGCCGCTCCGCTGCAGAAGTGCCTGCGCCTGGACCCGGCCGCGCCCGTGTGGGCCGCCAAGCAGCGCGTGCTCTGCGCCCTCAACCACAGTCTCCAGGACGCGCTCAACTACGGGCTCTTCCAGCCGCCCTCCAGGGGCCGCGCCGGCAAGTTCCTGGATGAGGAGCGGCTCTTGCAGGAGTACCCGCCCAACCTGGACACGCCCCTGCCCTACCTGGAGGTGCGGCGGGCAGGCCCGGGCGAGGGGGCAGCGCGCAGGGTGGGACCGCTGAGCTCCGTGGCATGATCAGTGAAGGGCATGGCCTTCGCTCACGGAAGGAGTTAGGGTGGGAGCGGTGTGCGTGAGGGGCTGTGTGCAGTGAGCTGTGTGCAATGAGCGAATGCAATGTGCAGTGAGCGTGTCCAGTGTGTGCAGTGTGTGCAGCGAGGGGTGTGCAGTGAACAGGTACAGGGAGCGAGTGGTGAGTACAGCATTGAACACGCCGCTGCACAGTGAGTAGTGTGAGCCGTGTGCACGGTGAGCAGAGTGTGCAGCCTGTGCAGTGTGAGCAGTGTGCAGTGCATGCAGTCGGCATGTGTAGTGCGTGCAGTGGTGCGGGCGCTGAGTGTTGTTCTGCGGGGAGGAGTGTGAGCAGGAATGAGTGCGGGAGGGGTATGCGGTGTGAGCGACCCACCTGTGTGCACATTTCTCCCCCTCCCCCAGCTGTGAAGTCTTCTGAAGGCCAACCTAGGCCCCCTCCTTTGCTCACTCGTCATGATGTGAAGGTGTCTCGAGTGCCCTGCCAGGCGTGGGGACACTGAGTCAGTCCTGACTGGGAGGTCTCTCAGTTGGGGTGGGGGGAAGGCAGCTACAGTGAGGACGGAAATGAGATTTATGGAGGCCGAGCTCAAAGTTATCTGGCCTCTGTGGTGGCCTAGGGAAGTGGGGTCAGTCCTGCTTGGAGAGGGATGTCTAGGATGTGAGCCTAGGTCTTGGGAGAGGAGTGGGGTTTTCCCGGGACGCCTGGGCCGGAGAGTGGGAGCATTGCGGGCTGCAGGGCAGCTGGGCACGCTGCTCCCCCAGTACCGCGAGGCGAGTCTGAGTGTGGTGAGTAGCAGCAGCTGTCGATTTTGTCTGTCCAGCACCGGAGCATGAGTGTCGGGGCTTGTGTGGCTTCGGGCTGTGCTGCCTGAGGGGTGTGCCGGAGGGCAGTGAGCGGGGTGAGGTGTGGCTGATGCGAGCAGGACGGGGTTTGTGGCGTGCTCACTCGCTCATCCCGGTGGGTGCGTTTTTCTCTACCTTTTCTTTATCTGAGCAGTTTCGATACAAGCGTCGAGTTTATGCCCAGAACCTCATTGATGATAAGCAGTTTGCAAAGCTTCACACCAAGGTAAAGAGACGATCACGGGGAGGAGACTCCAGGAGTTACTTCCCTCCTCCCCTGGGGCTGACCACAGACCGCTAGCTTTGGCTCAGTCTGCTTCCCCTCCCGTCAGAGCGGGTACTGGGGAGGGCGGGGCACAGGTTCCAGGCCCCATGGCTGGGGGCTGGCAGTCTGGCGACCAGTTCCAGTGAGATCAGACTCTCGCTGACCCTCTGGTGAGCCCCCGATGGAGTGTCCTGTGAGAGGCCGGGTGGGAGGGAGTGGACAAGCTGATATGATCTGTTGGGGCGAGGTACCCAGCACTAGTGGTCACCCAGTGCTGGGCACTTGTATTTAGGCATCTCAATTCTCTCCTGGGAGGGACTATTATTACCCCGTTTCATGGATGGGGAGACTGAGTGCCAGAGAAGTTAAGTCACTTGCGCACAACTGTGAAGCCGGTAAAGCTGGGCCTGAACCCAGGTCTGTCTTACTCCAGGCCCTGTGTCAGGCACACCTGTGAGGTGTCTACTGCGGGGCGCTACCTGCAGGGTGGGCCTGACCTCAAATGCCCTTTGGGGGCACCTCACTGCCTCCTCTGAATGTTGGAGGGGCAGGGTGGGTGCCACAGCCCCTCCTCACGGGCAGACTTCCTGAGCTCCTGCCCCAGGCTCCATGGACCAGTGGGCATCTGCTTGCCGGATACTTCGCTGATGGTCTCTGGAGCCTAGGAGAGGGATCACTGTCAGAGCACTGTCACCTCTGTGCCTAATGATCCTGTCCGTGACCCCAGGGCCTCAGGCTTCTGTGCCGGACTTTTCTGCTGCCCCGGGGCAGGAGGGATCAGCGGCTGTGGCTCTGCAGCTGGGCAGGGCCCACTGTGAGGTCCACCTCTCCCTCCACTGGCCCTCGTGTGACCTTGTCCCTCTGGGTTCCTCCCCCATGGCTACTTGTCTTCCACATTCTCCTCAGTGACCCACAGGACATGAGTGACTCTTGCTCTTCAGGGAGTCCTATTTGTTTTTAGGATGAATCTAAATTTCCTACCGTAGCTGTATGTTCCTGCCCAGCCAGGCTCCAGCCGGCCCTTCCCTCTCCCCACACCCTGGCTCTGGCTTTGAACAGGCCCCTTCCTTGGTTGTGAACACTTCCTCTGGTTTCATTGCCCTGGCCTACCTGAGGAGGTCCTCTGTCATGGCAGTGGTTCCTGGGGCACCCTCTCCTACTGATGCATACTGAGTGTTTCTGCAAAGCTCCAGGCCTTTAGCCAGGGCACCCTCCCTTGTGTGTGTAGCATCCGTGGCACCAGCCAGGGCCAGGGAAGCTTTGCTGGGTGAACGAATGTATGATTGGGTGAATGAATAAAAGGCAGTTAAAGTCATGTCACAGGAGGGGTCCCCAGTGGGGGGTAGGACCCTCAGGGTGGGGAGGGGCCCCTGTGGGAGGGGGTCTGCCATAGGGTGAGCTGGTGGAGAAGATGGGCCAGAGAAGGAGCAAAAACGGCCCTGGCAGTGATGAGGTTCGAGGCTGGCCTGGGGCCGGTTCCTGCCAGGTGGACTTTGGGCTCTTCCAGGCTAAGCTGGTTGGGCCAGAGGGGCAGAGCCGGGGCAGCGGCTGGGGCTGGAGTCGGAGACTTGCTTGTGGGGCACCACAAGGTGATCTGTCCTTGGTGAGGAGCTGGCTGGGCTCAGGCTGACAGTTGTGGCGGGTTTGGATGCCAGGATGCAGGGAAGGGCTTTGAGCCGCCCGTGGGCCTATCGGGTTGGAATTGGGGCTGAGGTGGGAGTGCAGGGCTGAGGGTGCTGGTGATGATGTCAGGTGACAGGCCAGACTGATGTAGGTGGGGCAGTGACGCCCTACAGGTGGCCTGAGGCTTGCAGGAGGAAGGCGGGTGGTGGTCAGATGATGGTGGCCATGGTGCTGGGCTGACCGGGATGGCTGGTATTCCAGGCGAATCTGAAGAAGTTCATGGACTATGTCCAACTGCACAGCACGGACAAGGTGGCCCGCCTGCTGGACAAGGGGCTGGACCCCAATTTCCATGACCCTGACTCTGGAGGTGAGGAGCAGAGCAGGGAGGGGCATGGCCCGTAAGTGGCTGGGACCTAACTGTTATCTGTCCCCTAAACCAGAGTGCCCCCTGAGCCTCGCAGCCCAGCTGGACAATGCCACGGACCTGCTGAAGGTGCTGAGGAACGGTGGTGCCCACCTGGACTTCCGTACTCGAGATGGGCTAACCGCCGTGCACTGTGCCACGCGCCAGCGGAACGCGGCAGCGTTGACGGTCAGTGAGGGCAGGGCCTGGCCTGGAGGGGCACAGGGCCTGGTGGGGGAGGAAGCTGGGCCTGGCATGGATGCTGAGGCTCCTTGCCCTCAGACCCTGCTGGACCTGGGGGCGTCGCCCGACTACAAGGACAGCCGCGGCCTGACACCCCTGTACCACAGCGCCCTGGGGGGTGGGGATGCCCTCTGCTGTGAGCTGCTTCTCCACGACCATGCTCAGCTGGGGACCACCGATGAGAACGGCTGGCAGGAGATCCACCAGGTGGGCAGGGCGCGTGAGGTGGGGGGTCCCAGCCTCTGTGCTGAGTGGGGGTCCTGGGCTCTATTGTAGGCCTGGGGGTTGTGGACTCTGTCAGGGCTGGGGGTCCCAGCCTCTGTCCAGGGACCCCGCAACACATTCCTCCTCCCCCAGGCCTGCCGCTTTGGGCACGTGCAGCACCTGGAGCACCTGCTATTCTATGGGGCCAACATGGGCGCCCAGAACGCCTCGGGGAACACAGCCCTGCACATCTGTGCCCTCTACAACCAGGTATGTGCATGCCCACGTGCTGGTCCCCGTGCTACCAGGGTTTGCACTGAGCACATCCGTGTGCGTCCTTCTGCGTGTGAGGCCTGTGCCCTGCATGCACCCTAACCCCGACCCTCTGGCCTCCCGACAGGAAAGCTGTGCTCGTGTCCTGCTTTTCCGTGGAGCCAACAAAGATGTCCGCAATTACAACAGCCAGACGGCTTTCCAGGTACACAGGTGGTTTGCAGGAGTGTCTGTCTGTCTCCGTGTGACTTGGTCCAGAGTCTGAACCTTGGCTCGTCCCTGGGAGGCGATAGGGAGCACCCACTCCCAGGGTTGCTGCAGGAGGTGTGGGGGAAGGGAGTGGGCCCATGCAGTGCCCAGCATTGGTTAATACCAATGGCTTCTCCATCCCACTGCCAGGGGAGATGGGTCAGGGCTCTGGGGTGGGGGGAGCACAGGTGTGGGTCTAAGCCCCCAAGGCAGGCAGGGGCAGAGAAGCCACACTGGAGAGGGGTGCAGTCCCAGCCCCTGATGTTTCTGAGCCTTTTTTCCAGCCAGGTCTGGCTGGCAGCAGATGACCGGGTGGATGAGGTCTCTGTGTGGCCTGGAGTTTGTGGGGGGCCTGGGGATGTCACAGGGACTTGGAGGCCACAGGAGGAGCTGGGGCCCTGTTCTCAGGTGGAGTGAGCTGTGGAGAGAGCTGGTCAGGCTGCTGTGGCTGTGGGGTCACGGTGGGCCTGGTGGGCTTGGGCACATCTGGAACTAGACACACCAGGGCCTACTGGTCGACCAGGCGCCAGGTCATGGGAGGGAAAGAAGGAGGCTGATGGGCCTGGCAGCAGTAGGCCATGGCTGAGAGAGGCAGGACAGCCACATGTAGGGGCAGATGGAGAGGTCAGGTGGGGTGACCAGTGTGCCCCAGTCTGCCCGGGGCTCTTTGCTTTTAGCCCTGAAAGTCTCACGTCCAGGACACCTCCAGCCCCGCAGATGGCTGGTGGTCGCCTGGTCACAGGGTGTGTGTGTAGCACCCTATTATTGCTACTGCCTTGACTAGTGTGTCCCAGTTACAGTCAAGAGTGTGTGTGACCAGAGAGCCAGGAGCAGCTGGGAGGTTGTGGGGGGCAGATTTGGTGCTGCTGAGCCTCCCCTCCCTCCCCCCGACTGCTCCCCCGCCCCAGGTAGCCATCATTGCGGGGAACTTTGAGCTTGCCGAAGTCATCAAGACCCACAAGGACTCGGATGTCGGTGAGTTCTGCCTGCCTCGGGGCCCTGCTGGCTGTGGGTGTGTGTGGTTGTCAGGGGCCCAGCAGGTACAGGGGTCAGTGGGGACGTAGCAAGGGGGCCCCCACTTCCACGTCTCTTCCTTCAGCTCTGCTCTGTGTGGCCATGGTCCGTTAGAGGTCCCTGCAGGCATGGGACGTGCTGAGTGGACAGAGGTTTGGGTCAGGTTTGGGCTGTGGCCTGGGGTTGGCTCTGAGCTTGGGGGTCAGCTTAGGTCAAGAGTGGGGTGGAAGTTAGGGTTGGGGTCCCTGTTTCCCGTTAGGTCCTAGGAAGGGCCAGCAAGCATTGTGGGGGCAGTGGATCTCCCTTCAGCCGAAATAAGAGTGAGTCTAGGTGACCCATAGCACGCTCTCAGTATGACAAGATCACATAAACGCGCGTGTGGATAAGACAATGCCGTGACGAGGCTGGGAATAGGGCAGCAGCTGTCCTCAAGGTGAGGGGCTCTGAGCTCCCTGTGGCCAGCACGCAAAGGGAAGCCTGGCACATGCATGACTTCCACTCCTAGAAGGAAAACCAGGAGCACACGTACGGCCTTGGCCCCAGGACTGGCAGGACACAGGGCACCGCCCTCGCACCTGAGCCTCTGGGGGCCCCACCCACCCCCATGTCTCTGCTTGGTGTGGGCCAGGCTGACACCCGTCCTGTGTGTGGGGCGGCTGGGGCTGCAGGAGGCGGTGGGCCCCCCTCCAGGAAAGGGTGCTGTCTGGCCAGAAGCTACTCCCTCCAGCCCACTGGCCTGGCAGGGCCTCCCTTCCTGGATCCCTCCCTGTCCTGGCTGGGCCAGGCTTTTCTGCCCGTGGCTCTCGCTGGAGCACGGACTCCCAGGCCCACCTTCCTGTCAGTAGTGTTTTCTGGTGGGTGTCCTCATTTTTCATCTCTCTCTTTTTCTGTAATTTGAAGTGACGGCGGGCAGCAAAGGGCTGGGACAGCTTTTAGGGTTAGAATCTGCTTGTTTTTAATGTGAGGCTATGGTTAGGGCTGGAGTTAAGGTTAAGGTCAAGTTCCTGTTTAAGGATCCTTCCTCTGTAGAGTTTCCCCTGAACGCACCCGCTCCTGCCAACAAGGCCTGGTTGGGAGCCCTTGGGTCTGGGCGGCAGCAGGGCAGCGATAACCGCTGAGCTGTCCGCGGGTGCAGGAGACCCTCAATGAGAGCTGTGGCGTCAGTGGTTGGGCATTGAGTGAATGACTGAGCCCGTGGAGGGATGTGGGGCTGGAGTCCAGGTCGGATGGGGAGAGAACTCTGGTAAGGTTTGGGGTTTGGACTGGGGCTGAGATACAGCTACAGTCCGGTTGGGGCTGGTGAGTGTTGTGGGGGCGGCCGTTAGCGTGGGAGGACCCTGGCGTGTGGACGTGTGTGGCCTTCTTTTCTGCCTGTGACTGTCTATCCAGGTCTCATCTGTGTGATTGGACAGAGATAATCGGCCTCTGGGGTCGCTGCTTTGCTGCTCGGTGTCCGCCCGGTACAGATGTGCTTGCGTGGCTGGGTTTGGGCACACCGTCCCGGGCAGCGTCGGGACGGGAGTGGGCTGGCCAGCAACCGCCTGACCTGCTCGGGTGTCACACAGCACACTCAGGTGACACAGCCAGACATCCTTGAGGATGGGGTGACGCGCTCCTTAGTATTCACTATAAGTCCCCTTGTCTCAGTTCACCCTCTCGACAACCCCCCAAAGAGTGGTTATTAGCCTGTTTTACAAAGAAGGAAACTGAGGCACAGAGGGAGTGATGGCAGAGCCTGTCTTCAGACCTGTGTAACTCACAGGCCTGCCCCCTCTGCACACATTCACTCCAAGGACACTCTCTGAATGACAGTCGTAAGTCACCATGTCCCACCCCATCTGGGGCCACTGGGTGGGGCTCTGCCCATCCTTCTTCCTTCTCAGGTGGGAAGGTACCCACCTGGTGGGGTCTGGCAGACTGGGACTTGTGTCACCCTTCAAGGGGCAGGACACCTTGCTGTCTCTTGGCCCCTCTAGACAGACAGGCTTCAGGTGGGGACCCTGGCCTGAGAGTGGTCACCTCTGCTTCCTTACCTCTGTCACCTTGGGCTACCCTTTGGGTCACCTGCTCTCTTCTGCACACACTCCCACACACATGCACACATGTGTTCACACGGGTTTGGTATCACATGGTGCTTTTGATCAGCGCTCTGGGGAAATGCTTCTTGCATGATACTGCCACAGGGATCTTGTTAAGTGTAGATTCTGACTCAATGGGTCTGGGTGGGGCCTGAGGCTCTGCATTGGTGATCAGCTCTGCCGTGAGGCCGGTGCCCCTGATCCTCGGACCACACTTTGCACTGCAGGGTCTACTACAGGGCCTGGCAGGTGAGGCCCTGCAGACCAGATGCAGCCCACAGCCTGCTTCTTGTTTTTAAATTGAGGTGAAATGTATTGTACATTGTACAATGTACATTGTACAAATGTATTGTACATTATGTACATAACATAATATTAACTATTTTACTTGAACAGTTTAGTGGCATTTCATACATTCACAATGTTGTGCAACCAATTCTGTTGAATTCCAGAGCATTTTCACGCCCCCCAAAAGAAACCCCCAGACACGTTAAGCAGCTATTCTGTTGCCCTCCCCACTCCTCTGTCCGCCGCCAACACACATTCTGTCTCTGCGACGCACGTGTTCTTGAGGTTTCGTACAAATGGCATCACACAGGACGTGACCCTTTGAGTTTGGCTTCTTTTACTCAGCGTGTTTTTGAGCTTCATCCACCTTGTAGGATGTGTTGCTATTTCATTCCTTTTTATGGCTGAATAATATTTCTTTGTGTAAGTGACGTTTTGTTTGTCCTTTCATCCAATGTTGGGTATGTGGGTTGTTTCTACCTTTGACTACTGAGAATATTGCTGCTATGAATGCGTGTGTGCGTGCATTCTGAATGAACACCTGTTTTTAGTTCTTTGGGGTATATACCTAGGAGGGGAATTGTGAGGTCATGTGATAATTCTGTGTTTAACTTTTTCAGGAATTGTCAAACTATTTTCTACCATTTTACATTCCGACCAGCAATGCGTGAGGCTTCCAATTTCTTCACATTGTTATCAACACTTGTTACTTTGCTTTTTAAAATTTTTATAGCCATCCTAGGAAGTGTGAAGTGATATTTCACTATGGTTTTGATTTTCATTTCCCTAATGACTAGTGATTTTGAGCATTTTTTCATGTGCTTATTGGCCATTTGTATATCTTTTTTGGAGAAATGTCAAGTCCTTTGCCCATTTTTAAGTTGGATTGTTTATTTTTGTTGTTGAATTGTAAGAGTTCTTCATATATTCTGAATACTAAACTCTTATCGGATATATGATTTATAAATATTTTCTCCTATTCAGTAGGATAGGAGATCCTTGTGACTTTCTTCATAATGTCCTTTGCTTTATTTAGAGTCTTTAATTTTGCTGAAGTTCAATGTATCTAGTTTTTCTTTTGTTGCTCATGCTTTTGGTGTCATATCTAAGAATCTATTGCCAAATCTAAGGTCATGAGGGTTTACCCACTATGATTTCTTCTAAGAGTTTTATGGTTTTAGCTTTTTTATTTAGGCCACTGATCCATTTTAAGTTAATTTTTTAATATGTCGTGAGGTAGGGATCCTTCTTCAAATGGATATCCAATAGTCCAGCGAATAGTCTCTTTTTTGAAGAGACTCTTATTTTCCCATTGAATGGTCTTGGCACCCTTGTCAAAAATCAATTGGTCATAGATACATGGGTTTATCTGGACTTGCAGTTCTATCCCATTGGTCCACATGTTCCTTCTTATGCCAGTACCTCATGGTTTTGATTGTTGTGGCTTTGTAGCAAGTTTTGAAATTGGGAGGTTTGTGTGCTCCACCTTTGTTCCCATTTTTGATATTATTTTGGCTAAGCAGCGCCCCTTGTGATTCCATATAGATTCGAGGATTGCTTTCCTGTTTCTGCAAAAAAGGACGTTAGAATTCTGATAGGGATTGCATTGAATCTGTAGATCACTCTGGGTAGTATTAACATTTTAGCAATATTGTCTTTCAGGCTGGGCACTGTGGCTCATGCCTATAATCCTAGCACTCTGGGAGGCCCCATCTCTACTAAAAATAGAAAAAAATTAGCCAGTCGTGGTGGTGTGCACCTGTAGTCCCAGCTACTCAGGAGGCTGAGGCAGGAGGATCACTGGAGCACAGGAGTTTGAGGTTGTAGTGAGCCATGATGATACCATTACACTCTTGCCAGGGCAACAGAGTGAAACTCTGCCAAAAAAAAAAAAAAAAAAAAAAAATATATATATATATAGTCTTCCAATTAATAAACATAGGATGTCATTCCATTTATTTAGGTCATCTTTAAGCAATGTGTTATTATTTTCAGTATACAAATCTTTTACTTCCTTATTTAAATTTATTTTCAGCATTTTATTCTTTTAGATGCTATTATAAATGTAATTATCTTCTTAATTTCCTTTTTGGGTTGTTCATTGCTGTTATATAGAAACACAACTCATTGTTGTGTGCTGATCCTGTACCCTACATCTTTGCTGAATTTGCTTATTAGCTCTAGTAAACAAAAAGTTTAGTAGCTTTTTTTGTGGATGCTTTGGGATGTTTTATATATAGGATCACGCCGTCTGCAAATAGAGATAGCTTTACTTCTTCCTTCCCAATTTTGATGCCTTTTATTTCTTTTTTCCCCAATTGCTCGGACTAGAGCTTCCAGTCCAGGGCTGAACAGCAGTGGTGAAAGCAGTAGCCTTGCCCTGTTCTTGGTGGTGGCGAAGCTTTCAGTCTCTCACCATCGAGTATGATGCTAGCTGTGGGTTTTTAATAAATGCCCTTTATCATGTTGAGGAAGTTACCCTCTATTATTAGTTTTCTGAATGTTTTTATCATGAAAGCGTACTAGATTATGGCAAGTGATCTTTGTGCCTCAATTTAAATGGTCATGTGGCTTTTTCTCCTGTGTTCTATAGATGTGATATATTACATTGATTTCGTTGGTCTGCAGTTTTCTCTCCTTATAATGTTCTTATCTGACTTTGGTATCAGGCCTCATAGAATGAGTTAGGAAGTGTTCTCTCCTCTACTATTTTTTGGAAGAGTTTGAGAATTGGTGTTAATTCTTCGTATGTTTAATAGAATTCACCAGTGATGCCATCTGGTGGTGGATTTTTTCTTTGTTGGGAGGTTGTGATTACTGATTCAATCTTTTTGCTTGTCATAGGTCTGTTTAGATTTTCTATTTATTCTTGAGTCAGTTTCGGTAATTTGTGTTTTTCTAGGAATTTGTCCATCCCATCTAGTTTATCTAATTTGTTGGCATCTAATTGTTTATGGTATTATATTTCTTTTTATTTATGTAACATCAGTAGTAATGCCCTAAATTTCATTTTTGATTTTAAGTATTTCTGTCTTCTCTCTTCTTTTAGTCTAACTAAAGGTTTGTCAATTTTGTTGATATTTTCAATGAAACTACTTTCATTTCATTGATTCTCCATAGTTTTTCTGTTTTCTATTTTTTTATCTCTGCTCTAATCTTATTATTCCCTTCTTTTTTCTAGCTTTCCTTCCTTTTGCTAGTTTGATTTGCTCTTCTTTTTCTATAATAGTTTCCTAAGATATGTAATTAGGTTGTTGATTTGAGATTGTTCCCCTTTTTTAATGTAGGTGTTTACAGCTATAAATTTCCCTTTAAGTACTGCTATTGTTGCATCCCTTAATTTTGTTATGTTGTACTTTGTTTTCATTTGTCTCAGTGTTTTCTAATTTCCCTTGTGATTTCTTTTTTGACACATTGGTTGTTTAAGAGTGTGGTGTTTAATTTCCATATATTTGTGAATTTTCCAGTTTTCCTTCTGTCCTTGATTTCTGGCTTCATTTCACTGTGATTGGAGAAGATACTGTGTATGATTTCAGTCTTTTTAAAATTATTGAGACTTGTTTTGTGGCCAGACATGTGGTCTGTCCTGGAAAATCCTCCGTGTGTACTTGAAAAGAATTCTCAGGTGTGTTCTGCGGCTGTTGGGTGGCGTGTTCTGTACGTGTCCGTCAGGTCTAATGGGTTTAAGTCTTCCATGTCCTTACTGATCTCTCTAGATGTTCTTCCCGTCGTTGGAAATGGGGTATGGACGTCTCCAACTGTTACTGTGGAGTCGTGCATTTCTCCCTTCAGTTGTGTCAACGTTCGTTTCACGTATTTCGGTGATCTGTTGTTTGGCGTCTCTATGTTAATCGTTAACCAATATGAAACGTCCCTCTCTGTCTCTTGTTACAGTTTTTACCTTAAAGTTTATTTTGTCTGATATCAATATAGCCACCCAGCTCTCTTTTGGTTACTATTTATATGAGATATATTTTTTTATCCTTCCACTTTCAACCTGTGTCTTTGAATTTAAAGTGATTCTCTTGTAAATAGCATATAGTTGGATATTTTTTAATCATCATCTGCTTTTATAATACAATTCTGCTGGAACGCAGACACACCTATTTGCTTATGTGTTGCTTGTGGCTGTCTTTGTGCCACGGTGGCCGAGTTCAGTCGTTGTGACCTAGACTGTGTGGCTTGCAAAGCCTGAAGTGGTTACTGCCTGTCTCTAGAAGAAGTCTACACCCTGGTCCAGAAGGTCTTTTATAGTTTCCTTAGCTGACTGCAGATGGCCCCACACAGCAGTAGTCCGGTGAGGTTTGGCCTGTGGAGCCTGTTTGTCTGTCCTGAAGCTTGTGAAACGGGGGCAGGTCTGAGAGCAGAGCTGAGCACCCCGAGGCCTCATTTGCCTGAGAGGAGCAGGATTCTGTCCCTAAAGCTAGAGCTGGTGGCAGTTTGACTGGGACATGGCCCCTCCGTGGTAGCTTTACTCAGAAGGTGGCCAACTGTGTGGCTTTGCCTGGGACCAAGGCGGTTCCTGGAATATAGGATTTTAGTTTTAAAATGTGGTAAGCTTGGGCGGACTGGGACTAGTTGGTCACACAGCTGGCTGTTCAGAGTCTTACCTGTGCCCCCCTACCCCAGTACCCTTCAGGGAAACCCCCAGCTATGCAAAGCGGCGGCGTCTGGCTGGCCCCAGTGGCTTGGCGTCCCCTCGGCCTCTGCAGCGCTCTGCCAGCGACATCAACCTGAAGGGGGAGGTGCAGCCGGCAGCTTCTCCGGGACCCTCGCTGAGAAGCCTCCCTCACCAATTGCTGCTTCAGCGGCTGCAGGAGGAGAAAGATCGTGACCGGGATGGTGACCAGGAGAGTGACATCGTTGGTGGCCCCTTGTCAGGCAGGGGCAGCCAGAGCAAGATCAGGTAGGAGGGCTGGGAGGCCCTGGAGGGAGAGGGTGGGTGGGGTGCCGGGATGTAAGCCAGGAGGAGCTGGCACTGGAGGCGGGGAGAGGCCCAGTGGTGCCTGGCACCTGTGTGGTGCTGGGCTAGAGCTTGAGGTGAGGGAACTTCTAGGACCCCAGACGGGCCTTCCTGGATGGGGAAGGGAAGAAGGTGAGGCCCTGTAGGCCGTGATGGTGTCACACAGAGACACTCACGCTGATCTCTGGTTGGAGCTGGGGCTCACCTTGAGGACAGTGTTGGGCAGAGAAAGTGTGATCTGACCTGTGGCTTAGAAAGTTCACTGCAGTGTCAGGGAGGGCTGGGATGAGTCAGGGCTGGTGGCATGTGGTAAGGGGTCAGGCATGGAGCTGCCACTCCAGGAGGGCTTAAAACCCACCAGCTCTGCTCCCAAGAGGTAGTCTTGGTCTTTCCCCCACGCCCAGTCCTGATACACCTACAGGACTCTGGTTTCTGTGCTTTACCCTTCATCCTGAGCCCTGGGGCCCTGAGAAGCCAGGGACACTTGAGGGAGTTGGTATCCCCAGAACTTACGGCGAAGGGCTGGATGGGGCCCGCTGGCTTCTGTGGACCGTGCGGCGGGGGCTAGGGGTGGACTCTGGCTCTCAGATGGCCACTCCGTGCCTGAGTTTCCTGTCAGTAAGGTGGGACTAACCCTTCCCAGGTTGTTGTCATTGGGAAGCCTTCCAGCACGTCCTGGGCAGGTGAGGGGTCTCTGCTGGGATCCCCTGGTCCACAGCGCAGGCTGGAGACTGCTGGTTAAGGCACCGTCCTCCCTGTGCCTTGAGGCAGGAGCTGTCTTTTTTGCTTCCCCAGAGCCAGATACATAGGTGTTTGGGAGACATTGTTGAATGAGAGTTACATAAACAGCACTTTGTTTTCAGTGGCAGTTAGCGTTTACAATCCTGTCACTCTGTGCCCGTCGAGGGGCTGAGCGGCACACGTGTATCATCTCATGTAACCTTGCTGACGTATGACATTACGCTCTCTTAATACCACGTTACAGATGAGGGTCCTGATGCTCAGGTCGGATGAGGACTTGTCCAAGTCACAGAGCTCAGAATCAGCTTACTGGGCCCCAGGTAGACTTGATTCCTAAACTTTCTAAGCCTAAGTTCTAACCCTCAGCAGAGGGCCGAGGGTGCAGCAGGAGCTCGTGGAAGGCATTTCTTCCTGCACGTAGCCTCTGCTCATGCAGCCCTGACCTCGGTGATGCCTTCGGTGTCTGTGGCTCTGCCTAGACTGCAGGGACTCCCATGGCTGGCTGTCTAGTCTCAGATTTCAAATCCCCCCAAAGCTTTTGCATAGCCTCGTGGATTTTTCTAAGAGTTAGATGGCCCATTGGCTGGAAGAACTCATTCGGGGATGTTTCAGTTTTGCAGAAAGGCTGCTCCAAGTTGGAGCCATGTGGTTGCCGCACGTCCCTCCCTGTACTCAGCAGACGCAACACTGAGACTTGCTGTGGGGATGGCAGAATTCTTTCTTTTTCTTCCTTTATTTATGAGGTGCCTAGTGTGCCAGAGGTGGTGGCAGCTAATAGTGGGGTCCTAACTGGGTCTCAGAAGGACACGGGCAGCTGAGGGAGTAGGGTGCACTGCGGAGGGAGAGGACTCCCGGGGCAGAGGTCACTTTCGGTCCCAGGAGACGATGGCATCTGAGTGGCCTTGGTCGGGGGCTGCAGCGGCTCGGTCTGACGCCCCCTGTTGGCTGAGCCCGGCACGGAGCCCCGGCCCCCCAGAAACGTGGTCTGCAGCGTCCCCGCCCCAGCGTCGCACCGCCGGCTTAGCAGGGAGGGTTGGAGGCTGAGAGGCGGTAATCTAGTGTCTGGGCGAAAGGGCAGGATCAGAGTAGTTTAGGTGTTGGCGACAGCGTGTGAACAGCACAGAGGAGGGGAAAGGGGGGTTCGCACCCATGCGACGGGAGCGTAGCGGATTCCCATGTCCCAGAGAGCCTGGCTATTGGCTGAGAATGTGGATCTGGCTGCCTAGGTACTAGGGAGCCACCGCAGGCTTTGGAGCAGAGCAAAAGTGGAGGACTGAGACCTCAGGCTCGGTGCCCAGGTCGGGGCAGTGGTTTGGCGATGGTGGCCAGCACGGAGTGGGCACGGGCGGCAGAGGCAGGTGTCCAGGACGAGAGCATGCAGGCCTGGAGGCGGACTGGGGCGCAGGCACGCCAGTGGTCAGGCCGTCAGGGGGCCAAGGCCCGAGTCCGAAGGCTGGGGCCCCGGGACCCGCCGGGAGCGCCCTCCCTGCGTTCCCCTGCGAAGCTCGCGGCTCTTCTGGTGCCTGCAGCCCCCCGGCTCCCGCCTGGCTGCCCCGACCGCCGCCCCGCGCCCCGCCAGCCCGACCTCCCCGCCCCCCCGCGCCGCAGTCCCCCTCCCGGCGGCGCTCCCCGCGGGGTCCGCGCGGGTGGGGGGCCCGGGCGGGCAGGGAGGCAGGGCCGGCCCGCCGCCGCCCGCAGAGGGAGGAGCCCGGCCACGGAGGAGG